CATATTCCAGATCCGCTTATGAGTCGTAAGTTATCAGTTAGTAGCCATTATTAAGAGAAAAGAAGGTCTCACAAGTTGGATTTCCTTATTTATCAAGCGAGCAGTCCATAATAGCGTTGGGGCGCGCTCTGCCACGTACCGACGATCGCGGCGATCGCCGGTCGCGCGATCGCCGCTGCTGTCGCGAAGTATGAACGCTGCCTTTGCTATTCTCCTACTCTCCCGCACTCCGCCCCCGCCGCTGGCAAACACTAGATCGATATCGATCATTTCCTTAACACTGCCGCTGCCGAATCGGCATACGCTGACGTACACTGCCGCAAAGTATGAACGCAGCCTAAGCATTCGGTCCTGATCTGACCAGCTGTTTTTACCCACAACTGAGACTGAATGATGCGGTTTTCACTTCTCCATGGTTCCTCTTGGAGAACTTACAATTGCGAAGTTTATGGAAAAAGTGAGTTGTTGGAATCCGAGACTTTTTGTCATTTTATCATTTTATTTTGGGTTGTTCCTTGGTTAATTCTCGCAAATTTTCGCCGCAATTTTCGCTTTGACAACATCTCATTACTGCGCTCCTATTTTTAGGCAACACCCCGATATTGTCTTGGCGTTTGCTACTGGCTGTGGTTAGGTTTTTTCACGTTCAAGCTGCAGTCACCGTGATTTTTCCACATTGATCATTGACCAGCGATGATTCATCTCATGGGTAAGAGGGGGGGGGGGGTGGGGAGGGGCTTTCGGTCTTTGCCCTTAATCGTTCCACTGCCCGCTTTTCGTGCAGCTAGTTGAATTTCCTCCAACGAGCCAAATTATCGTGTTCACCACTTTTAATATAACAAGCGAGTCCTTGATTTCATTGCTACTTAAAAAAATCAGAGTCCACTGTAAATGATCAACAAGTGAATAATTCGTGAATGTGAAAAAAGGGTCTTTGGGAAACTTCTCTCCAACCCAATATGACATGAAAGGTCTATGTAAGTAAGCTGTGCACTGAAGTGCACTTCCACTGGATCCCTAAAAGGCAGTTGGCACGATGGTTTCCTACTCGGCCTAAAATGCTAGTAGGGCGCTGTATAGTGGGGAAATGGCGAAAGAACGGAGTGAAACGGTCAAAATCCTGCGAAGAAATCCGTTCTCAGTGACTTGAAAATCGATTTCGGACGAGTTTCCCGTAGGCATCTTACCAATCACCGCTACGGCTGCATATGTGTACCCATATATGCATGCAGCATCACGGCCGCTTCATACCAATCCCTTCGCTTCATAATTTGCTTAGCAAATGAATACGAGCGTCAGGAACGGTCGTCCATTTGTGGGCGGGCGGGCGTGGCGGGCGTTTGGGTCGTAATGTTGTGGCTTGATAGGGCCCTTATAAGGGCACCTTCCTTGGAGAAGCCGCTATGCAGCGCTTCTCGTCGTGGAATTCCGTCCTGCCAGGCGTATGGATCCTAGTCGTCCTGGGGGATTTATCGTGCCAACTGTCTTTAACGTATATGAGTTCATCTTCACGTACAGTTCCCTCTAGCACTTTGATCTCTTCGTAGGCTCCAATCCCACGGTCAACATACTAACCATCCACCCATCGTTGAGCTGTGCATGTCCAGTCGTCCTCACAATGATGGCTCATAACAACTCCTCCCGCATTCAGTTATTGTTTCATCAGAGTGCCTCTTATGTTGTATCCATTCCATATGTGATGATGTCTGATGTCATAATGTCTTTTTTGTTCAATTCTATCGATCTCGAATTCGTTCGTAAAGGGTTAAGTTGTCAGCAAGCCCCAGTACTGCTGTCACCTCTCGGGTGGACCTTTTCATCTACCTAAAGGGGAAAATGACCTTATCATCCTGTCACAATGATGGTCCCGGTTTCGCTCTTGTTCCCAGTGTTTCGTTTCCTATGTTTGTGTTTTGTTTTGATTTTGTTTTCTTTTCAAATCTTCACTGTGCAATTTGCGTATTTCATTTTTTTCCTGCGTCTGTGGCACACCCTCGGGTGTATTCAAATAAATAAATAAGTAAATAAATAAATCTCATAAAGTTGTTATTCTGTTGTGTAACAGCATACAGCAACAGCATGTAACAGGATTTCGAGAACATTTTCACTATTAGTTTGTTAAGTAAAAGTATAGAAGAAACGCACTATGTTTCTGGAAAGTAACCGTCTCTGCTCCCCTCTCATGGTACACTGTGCAAGCACGGCGCATCCTTTCAGGATCGTGAGGGCCCCAGAATAATTTCACGTTCTGTGGATCACATTTCTCGTCGCACTCGGTCACAACACCCTACAATGATATTCCACACAGAGTGGTCTGTTCGTTGCACAGTGTTGATGTAAGAATTATACAGTGGCTGGACAAAACCCAAGCTTCCAGCAACCTCCCCAAGCCAAAGCAGCACGAAAGGAAGGTCATGATGGTGGTTTGGTGGTCTGTAGCTGTGGATCCGGACGATACCCTTACAGCTGAAAATTACTGTGAAGAAACTGAAGGAGTGTACCGTACTTCAATTCATGAGCACCCCTGCGCATTATCTAGACTTTTGCGACCGTTTCCTGCACATTTTTTACGTGACCTAACTGGGATCTACCACCTCACATTTCTACCCATAAGCCCACAGTAATCGCAGAGTAGGTCTTCAAGAGGGTCGGGCAGGTAGTGGACAGGACATTTTGGTCTACACGAATAAGCCTTGATATAAGCCATTGGCAGGGAACTTGCAGAACAGCCAGCCACTTTCATAGGTTGGATGGGGATAGGAGGGAGCTTCTTTTGAACATTGCGTAGGATGCATTTTTCGTGAAATATTTCCATTTGAGAAGTTAGGGCAGTGTCAGCGAAGGAAAGAGCTGCCTCCGGCTGTCTTCCCTCCGATTGTGATCGGTTGAAGACCGACCCAGAATAAGAACAACCTGTGGTGAAAGCGCTTAATTATTTTTGTGAAGGCAGACAGCATTTGAGCAGCTTTATTCTCGAGACTCCGAATATTATGACATTTTGTGGATTTTGGTTTGCTTTTGTGAATAAAATCGTCATCAAGTGAAGAAATAGTCGTCAACATTTGTAAGTCTTCAGAGCGTCTCTATCTTTGGTAGACACGGTGCTCCACTCTTGAACCAGTCCACATAGGTAACCACGAAGTTCACTTTGCTCGTCGACACTACCTGGAAACATGTTCTTGCATAGACTCGCGGATACTGGTAGTGTCTTGTTCGCTGTGGATGGAGGGGCGTGTCAGTGCGGCTGCGTTGGCGAGCTGCCATCCCGTCCACCACCTCATATTGAAGCGGTTAAGCGACAATAGTCTGTGGAAGACGAGTTATACAAACGAAATGTTGCAGTATTTTCGTTTGCTGAAATAGACAAAAAAAATGAGCTGGCACCGCGCCAATTCCAGCTCCTCTTGAATTCACCATTCACAGGCAAGCGAACGGCCTACTGAAAATCCTTTGAATGCTGACTTTCCCCGTTGAGAGATCGCAAAACCGCAAAAATTGAAAAAGGCATAAAGGTAAGATGCGTATTGGTTTTGTCGGCTCTACGATTCCCGGATTCTCCGCTCTAGCTATGATTGCAGTCACGAGATTGCCTTTTCAGTGAGGAAAAAACTCAGTTTGCGGGATGAATCCTAACATACCTCCGATAAGGTACTCCCGACCGATGGTGAGTTCTATTCCACATGCGGCCGAGTTCGGCGCGGTGAAGATTTCGTTCGGTAGTTGCTTCAGTTTTGACGGTTTCTGAAAAACTACCTTCTCCGCGCGCATGTCAACAAAATGCAAAAAATTATTAATAGTTGGTGTTTATTAGCTCTGGAAAGCTGCGCCGTGCATTCAGCTTCCATTTGAAAAGATGCAGCCAACTACTTGATATTCATCGTGTTCTACAGGATCTATCCCCGTCCACTCTGGCTATAGAAAAGGTAGGAACTTGGTGGGACTGCGAAGAAGGTCACGACAAAGTAGCCAGTACATACAGTACCCATCTACTTTCGTCCTCCCAATCGATGGATTGGATGCAAGATCGCCCCAAACGGCTGCTACTTTCTTAGCTTGACAGAGCTACTGCCCTACTAACAATAAGTGTTAGGTCTTGCTGCAATAACTGCAGGACCCATTTAGCTGACATCTACGTCAGTGCCTTCACCTCGAAATTAGGGTTTACACACTATCGGAGGTGCCTGACGACCTGACTTTTCAAAAATTCCTGCACCAGAAAAAGCTTCTTCTTCCGAATCACTTCCCCCAACGGTAACAGACCCTTGAACAGAGTCCTTGGGGCTGTCCTTCCTTCAGATACTTTGGCTAGCGTGAGAAGTTCTGAACCTGCCCTAATCAGGTCTGTTATTAGGTTGTCGCATAAGTTCTTATACACGACTTTTTTGTAAATATCTCAAAAACGAACCAGCCTGGAGATTAGAGGTATGCACCATCACCATTCACTACTCGACGCCAGCGCTCAGGCAGCTTGTCGATTCCATCCTTCCAGAACGACGGAGGCTGGGACTTGAAGAAGTCGTCGAGCGCCTTTCTGACCTGATCCTTTGTTTCGAACTTTTTTCCGTCCAGATAGCGCTGCAGGTGGCTGAACAGCCAGTAGTCAGAAGGAGCGAGGTCAGGGCTGTAGGGAGGGTGGGCGACCATCAGCCATCCGTACTTCTCCAGCTCGGCCTGGGTCGCCTTTGCAGTGTGAGGCGTTGTCATGGTGGAAGTAGATTTCCGCATTCCTTCCACGAGTACGGTCGACGTGATCTTTCAATTTCCGCAGCTGGGTCACGTATGTGGAAGCGTCAATCGTCTGTCCCTTCTCCAGCAGCTCCCAGTACTCCATGCCTCTTCTGGACCACCAACAGGACAGGAGAACCTTTTTGGGGTGAAGGTCGGCCTTTGGGGTGGCTTCTGGCTGTTCTCCTTTGTCGACCCACTGCCGCTTCCTCACAGGGTTATCGTAGAGGACCCACTTCTCATCTCCAGTGATCATCGAGTTGAGAAAGTGAAGCCTCTTTTGGAAAGTGAGGAGAGAAGTGCAGGTGGTCACCCTCCTCGAGAGGTCATAAGCGGACAGTTCATGTGGGACCCATCGACCAAGCTTTGCTACCTTGCCGAGCTTTTCTAGTCCACGTGCAACCGTCGAATGATCATAGCTAAGCATGGTCGCCATTTCTCTGGTGGTGAGGTACGGGTCCTCCTCCACGGTGGAACGTAGTACTTCCAAATCCAACTCCATCGGCCGACCCGACCTCGGAGCATCTTCGAGAAAAAGTCTCCTTTCTTGAATTTGGCGAACCAATTCTTGCATGTCATGTAAGAGATGACGTCCTCACCGTATGTATCCACCAGCTTGGTGGGCTTCCTTTGCATTCCAGCCGAAATCGTGGAGCAAAACCAAACAGTGGCGCAGGTACGTTTTGTCACAGTGCAAATTGTGCGACATTGTGTACTGCAAATGCAAGCTCGGTGAGTGATAGCTAGTGTAATGAAAGAGTATAATGTACACGTCACGCACACGTGATGACGTAATACCAACATCCATGCGAACGAAATAGGAGAGGATCAAACACGTGTATAAGAACTTATGCAACAACCTAATACAAACAATCCGAGACGTTACTTTGTTGCGTTTTCAACCCTCATGACTTTGTTCCTGAACTCGGTCTTTAACCGATCACTATTGGTATAAGGGGGTGCTGGATCCGCCCCTCAACACCGTCCCGACTAATTGTGAAGATGTCAAGTACTCTGTACAGCCAACAGCCTACTGGCAAACTTAGTTGCGCGAAGTGAAAGCATGGCGCCATCCCAACTGTGTCGTCGCTCATATAAGAAACTCACTTGCATAAACGCGAGAATGTTCTACGGTGTAACTATGTCGCTCAAATCGTCCGGGATTCCGTTTGGATTCTCCCTTTGACTTCACTTTCACATGAGATACTGAATTAATGGTCCAAAAACAATTGAATCATAAACAACAAAGGCGGAGGTAATAGCTCAGTCAGGTCACATACCAAAGTCTGAAAGCGCCAGAATACATCTTTTAATGAAGTGAATGGCAAGCAGGAACAAGCCTCTGAAGCTGTTACCCAGGCAAAAACTACAATCAGATGCCTCATATCTGAAAGGTATAACTTCGAAGAAAGCTCGAAAAAAAAACAAAAAAACGGTCTTGAAGTATACGAAAATGTTTTGGAGAAATAAATATATGAAACACTGTGGAGAACCAATAAGAACCCTGGAAAGTAAAGGAGCGTTGGCGACAAACCCTCGAAGCTGACAGCGATTGATCAGGAATGAGCTCGAGTTAACCTTTGTTCTCGATAAAGACATCGAATCATAAATAAAGAGGCTATCCAGGTACAGATTCATTCGTTGCCCATGCTGGGGCGTGTCCACGGAATGAGTTTCGCCGCGTCAGTCCTTCATCCATCAGTTGCTTGAGGGGGGGAACGACAACAATTGCTGGAAAATTGGCTGGCGTCAAGCCAGTCTCATCCTACCCCAGCGTCCGCAGCGAACAAGGCTGAATGCATAGTGGTAGAAGGCTTAATAAATATTAACTGAAAAACGTCCAGCTTTCTGTCGTTGTTATTATTATACAGAGTGCTCTGGGCAATGAGAGGAGAAAGGTAAATTTTGCTCCACCGTGGTTGCGTTCATACTTTGCTGCTCGAGCCACTCATTTCTGCGACTCCTGAACTCGCGATTGCGACCAACCGCGCTTGAACGTTGCAACTGCTGTTCTGGTCATAGTAGGGTGGAACTAGCAGTGACTGAACCATTAGCGGCAGAGGGTTATCAGTCGCAAACATAACTGAATCACTTGAGTCGCTCAGCGTGAACTTATGGGCCCTACTGCGGCTGAGGCTGATTTAGTAGATAAATATGCTATGTACGCAGTGTTCATCATCATTAAATGAATTCCTTCACGGGGCCGTATACGGAGTAAACCGGTACTGAAGACATCAGGGTCGTATCAGGGGCCAGTGCTGAGGAACAAATAGACAAGAGATAGTGAAGCGGGTCCTCTCGAACTCTTGGATCCCATCGGCTTGCTCAGGCACGCGTCATGCGAAGCTTGTACCTTCCAAGCGCCTCAGCGAGCACGCGAATGCATGGCGCCTCCGCAGAAGAGGTCATTCGACGTGAAGAAAACAGTTCAATCAATCAATGCAACGAAAATGCATTTTGAACAGACAAGAAGGTTTCAAAATGAATTCCACTCCATCAGGGTTTCATTAATATGTTTCGTTACAAGAAATCGAGCTCCTAAGTGG